TACCGCTTGTGGTGCTGAAACTTTACCCCGAGCTACACTCTGGAATACCTCCAGGGAGGTTAAATAGCAATTGCTTGGTCATGCAACATTTTACCCAAATAAAATTTATATCACTTTTTTGCACACAAATAGAGCTGTCTTTTAGTGGTATTTAATCATCACTGGATTTTTTTTTAAATTTATTTTTATTTATTTATTTCAGGTACTTATATAACGCCGTAAATTTACGCAGTGCTTTTACAGATATTCAATGTACATTCACATCACTCGCAAACCCTCAAGGAGTGTACAATCTAAGGTCCCTAACTTACATTCATACATACACATACTAGGGACAATTTAGACAGGAGTCAATTTGCCTACCAGCATGTCTTGGGAGTGTGGGAGGAAAATGGAGGAAATCCATGCAGGTACAGGGAGAACATGCAAACTCCAAGCAGGAGGTGCCATGCCTGGAATTCGAACCAACAACTATTTTTGCTATATCAATGAAAACATACCAAAAATGTTGAAAAAAACACCTTTGTTTTAGTTTCTGTTATTAAATTTTGCAAACAAATAATAATCTTTCTTCATAAATTTAGGCCAAAATGGGTTGATACATTTCTTTGGTAAAAATAACCCAAATTGGTGTATACTATTTACTCTGTGTGAAAGTTATACAGTCTATAGCAGGACGGACCATTTGGAAACTCGGGCACTGCCCATCAGATGCCCCTGGTACCTTTTTCATAGGCTTTTTTTAGTTTGGGCAAGGAGACGGGCCCCATGATCCCCTATTGCCCGGGGGCCCCAAGAGTTGTCAGTCCGCCCCTGGTCTATAGTATAGCATATACAGTATATTTAAAAATTGATCAATCCTAATGTACTGAGGGCCTATCTCATTTCTTGAGACCCTAAAATGCCAGGACAGTACACAAAAAACAAAACAAAATGACCCCTCTTTAGAAAGTAGACAGACCGAGGTATTTAGTAATAGGCATGGTGAGTTTTTTTTTAAGTTGTAATATTTTGTCACAATTTTTTGGAAAATGAAGAAATTAAATAAAATTCTTTTTTTAACGTACTGTCACCAGTGCAGCACAGTGCCATTTATATCACTGATGTGGTGGCAATCAAGAATACTGACTAGTGACAGTAAAAAAAAAATATTCAATTTTTTTTACATACTTTCATCAGAGTAGTTCAGTATCACCATAGTGACACTGTACTACTCTGAGCAGAAAGGGGGTGATAAGGGCCTGTTTTTTTTTACACTGTTATTGTTTATAACAGTAATAATCACAGTTATAAACAATACTTAACTGTCATGAATTGCTTTCCATTCATGACAGCTTGCTTACTGTTGACATTCTGTGTTTGGCTACAGCTAACCACATGGAACAGGGTGCCAGGTACCTTGTGATAGCTATGGGCCAATCATAGCATCACAAAAGTAATCAAGCTGTCATGAAGGGAAATCCATTCATGACAGTTGCTTACATAAATATTATGTGATCCCTATGACCAATCATAACTATCAAATGACACCTCAGCGACTCATAGCAGCCAGATACCAAGTGCAACGATCCACCAGAAACATTAGTCATGGGTTTGTGTCAGTTTGCGTCCCAGGGGGGGAGAGCTACTGCGCATCTGCCTGGGTGACATACCAGTATGTCACCCTGCCTGTCTGTGCCACCCAATCACAGTACATTTACTGTGAATGGGTTGGTAAGAGGTTAAGATTACTGTTTCTCCGCATCTGGTTGACTACCAAATCCTCCTTGCAGAACATAATAGCTGTAGAGGCGAATTACAAAGTTTTGACCCGATGGTACTTGGTCCTGGCGAGGATTGCTAAATATACTCCCGGTTATTCCCCTAATTGTTTTCGGGGCTGTGGGGTAGAAGGAACATACAGTATTTTCATATTTGGTGGTCTTGCCCGGTAGCCCAAGTTTTTTGGGCTGAAATTTTTTATATGCTGTCCTTGCTCTTTGCAAAACCACTGTCGCCAAACCCGATCATAGCCCTGTTAAATCTCCACCCTACATCCATTTCTAAATCCCAATTCAAGTTTCTCCTGCAGGTCACCATGGCAGCTAAACAAATTATGGCCAAATCATGGAAGTTGCAATCCCTATGTATTCTAGCTGTTAGAAACAAAGTAACGCAAGCAATGATTCATGCCAAAGTGGAAGCATCCAGTGTCCCCAAATTCCTAAAGATCTGGAACCCCTGGGTGGAACACTTCCTCCTGTCGAATTTTGACGATTCACTGCTCTTCCCGTAACATTTTTCTTTAGTCTCACCTTATGATGATCCTATATGCCATTTCCAACACTGGTCCGGTCCTGAACTGCCCCTTCTCTTCTGGAAGTCACACGCCCCCTCTCCCCTTCCTCTGTTCCCCATGTTGGCCTCCTTTATTCTTTCTTTCCCCTTTCCAACCTGATCCCATTTTTTGTTCTTCCTTCATTTCGCATGGAACCTATAGGTAGTTCTGTGGTGTAGTACACCCTAGTTGGATCATAACCATGCTTTGTATTGCATTCTCCCAAATGTTTCTTTGTGGTTCCCAGTTGTATGTTTTTCACGTGACTTTTTTCTCCTTGCCTTTGGGTAACATGTTCTCCAATACTTATGTATATGTATTTACTGTACATGTCCTAAGCTTGTTTCTAGCTTGGAAAATCAATAAAATGTTTGAAGAAAGATTACTGTTTCTCAGATGTGCACGACTTCCACCTGGGCTTCTATCCTTACTTCCTCCTACCAGGTGGATATTTAGTCTTGTCTGAAGCCAGCTTTGGGTATAAGACTTTTTGAGCAGCACCTTTGAGCTGCAAGCAGTTCACAGCTTTGCTGTTGTTTATATGTCCTGGGCCTGTTGCCATGTATTTACTGTTTGCCTATCGCACCGTTGGATTGCTTTTGGACAGCTTTAACTTTAAATGCTTCCTGAAGTCTATGTCTTGATCAAGGAGAGAACACTTGCAAAAGACAGAGTCACTTAGGTAGTCAGAAAGGCTATCAACAACAGAAAGTCAAGCCACAGACACCTTGAGCTAGGACCTCCATGGCCTGCACACAGTAAATTAAAGCCAAAATTAAAAAAACAATGCTTTATTATTTACATAATATCCTAATATCAAAAGATTACAAAAGACAAAACTGTAAAAATCATTATTTGAACACCCTTCACCAAACCCACTTTCTAAAAGACGTTGTCTTTGTCACACAACAACTACATTTGGATCATGTGCCCCCAAGTGATATCATAAGTTTTCAAAACAGGGTATCCAAATCAAAATCTAACCAGCCTGGTGTCAAACACTACCTAACTCATAAGGTATTGGATAACAGGTGTCCTAATCAAATCAATAGTATTTGACTAAACCATCCCAGTCCATTTAGTAGCAATATTGCAAAAGAATTTCTAGCAAAGTTCCATGGGCAGGCAGTGAGCTAATAGAAACCTTGATACATCCAGCAGTTATGCTACAAATGCCAGTTTGCTGGTAAATACATATTTTCAATCGTCAAAGAGTTCAGCATAAGGTTGGCAAGAAAGCTAAAGGGTAGATTGAAGCAGTCATATAAAACCCCTCAATTCTCATAACCATACCACCTTTCATATTCTAGCGGCATCATACTCAGCCATCCATCCCACCTGCCATCTGTTTACATTTCTCTCAGCTGCTTCCTAGCTCCACCTCCCATAGCAGCAATATTACCAGTCCATCAATACTTGGGACTGCTGCAGGATTGTGACGTCAGACGTTGACTTCTATGATGCCAATGCACTTCGCCATGTAGGCGTGCCACGGCTTCATCAGGACATGGAACTGTTTAGTAAATCTGATTAGGATACCCGTTACAAAATACATGTACCTTGTGAGTTAGGTAGTGTTTGACATCAGAGTGGTTAGGTTTGGATTTGGATACCTTGAATTCAGGCATGTCTTGTTTTGATAAAACATCGGGATACATGATCCAAACTTAGTTGTTGAGTGATGTCCATATTTATGTAAAGTGACAAAGACAATGTTGTCTTTTAGAGAGTAGGTTTGGTGAAGGGTGTTCAAGTAAGAGTTTTTACATTTTGTATGTTATCCTTTTGTTGAAGATAATATGTATATATTAAAGCATTGATTTTTAAATTTTTGGCTTTAATTTACTGTGTACAGGCCACGGAGGTCCTTTTATGGTGGTTGCTTTAGCTCAAGGTGTCTATACCTTGACCTTCTGTTGTTGGTTTTATTTATGACTACCATGACCATGCCTAAATTTAAGCAAGTTGGCATACACTATTTTGTGAATTCCCTTTATGATCCTTATTTTGTGCCTAAGTCAGAACGGCTATAGTTCCTTAGGAGCCAACAAGGGTCGAAAGCATCATCGAACAATCATTTTGTGGTTGTTAAAGCTAATGCAAACAGTCAACTATACAGACAGGCTGGAGCCACCACATGCAATTGCTGCAAATTTGACCAAGAAGCATTTTGACCCTGTTGGCATCTGGTGCTGGGGTGTCAATGGAGTGCAGGACAGACAACTGGCCCTCTTCTGGCATGTTCCTTCAACACTACTAATAGACTCAGCAATCCTCACCACATCTGCTTTTGGCAGGAACACTAAAGCCTCCTCACTTCCTTATAAGATAGGATTTCCTTAAGCTTCCCACCTTGGTTATGAGTTATTGGTCTACCACATGTATGCTGCCAAGTTGGCACCAGGAAAATTGTGTTAAATACTTACCCTAATTTGGCCTCCAATTCATGGCAGCATACTGAACCCACCCAGTTCATTCCTAGCATTATTATAGGAAATGAGCTGCTCTGTTGGCTGCAACACTTCATAGATTTGCACTGGTCCTGTTGGAGAAAGTAGGCAGAGCTATTTCCATATATATCCTGCCATAGATTGGCACCAATAAAGGAATATTTTGGTAAGCATTTGATACAATTTTCCATTATGTTTGTACACGTTTTTGGAATAAGTTTATATATACATACCAGTGTGGAATCGTAAACGGTACAAATGATGCATGTCTCATGACTTCATTGATAAATGCTTCTGTGTAATGCAAAACTTTCCTATCATCAAATCTTGGTGATCTGCTGATTCCAATATTTTCATCTGTAAAAAATAGATGTAAGAATGTGCAAGCTGCAAAAACACATAGCAACTAATTAATTTGAACTTTCTTTTTAGAGCACCTAGAAGAGAGAGATTTGTTGCTTGGTTGGCGTGGTTTAATGCAATTTACATAGAACAGTTTATGTAAGGTTTGCGTCAATACCTCCTGGCCCTTTAAGGAGTTTTAAATGCCAGACGGCGGGGTGGGGTTTGTGATCATGTGACTACCATGATTGGCAGAAATATGATCGGAAAGCTCCCGATCGCAAGTAGAGATCAGGAGCTTTCCATTAGCCGCTGGTAACTGTGCTGGGAGAGCACACTGACCATGCTCTTGGCACAGTTCTGTTTTTTTGGGGGTACACATATATGCAGCCTCTTGGTGTTAAGGCCCACCTGCCGAGAGGCCACATATATGTGTGTAGCTGGTGGCAAGGAGTTAAAGTATGGTTTCAGTCTGTTCTAACTGCAAAGAAACACCAGGTGTTTGGTTACATTAAAGGACTAATATGATATCTAAAGGAGTGAATACTGGTGCATAATTCCCAACTTTCTAAGACAGATTAGAGGGACTCTAGCACACGACACACCCCTGCCACCATGCTACACCTCCTGATCAGATGAACCATGGTGAATTAAAGTGTAAAGATGATCACTTAAAGCTAGATAAGCTTTCACTGCTACATCTCCTTTGTATTAGTGTTTAAAAATAATCCATGCGATATTCTGAGGGGTAAAAGAATGTTTATGCAATATGAAAAAAACTTTGGCAGTTAAATACTACATTTATTTACATATTCCTACACTAGTGTTAAAAGAGGCACTGTGGAGAAATGCATCCTACTTCACAGAAGAATCGCCAAGTCCTTCAAGTCAGCTCTCTGCTCCTTGCATAACTGCTGTTGCATCATTTTTTGCTGCTAAGAGAAAGTGCAAATGCTACTGCTGTACTCGAGAATGCATTGCTCTACAGTTACTGCAGCTACATAGGTCAGTGAGGGCCTATGTTAAAGCTCATTTACTTGCAGGCCATAGATGTTTAGTTTTTTTTTTTTTTCTTGTTCGGCCAGTGAACTGACTTTGTTAGTGTGGATGGAGGTATTCCTACTGCCAGGACATTTTATTGCTGCAGCCCTAATCGACAAACATTTTCCAACAACCCTATATGACAGAAGTCGATCTAACAATCAATATCTGTTGAACAGGAATGGCCACACATGGTTTGAAATTTGGCCAGTCCCTGCTGAACCAGTCAAATTTTGATCCATCTATGGGCAGCTCTAGGCTAAGTACTCTAAATCTGATAGCAGCTGTACTTGCCATTCACTAGTTACAAGGAGACAGTAGTACAAGCTACAGGCTTTTAGTTTTGTAACCTAAAACTATTATATTAATACAGATGTTTACCTATTTCCTTGTGAATTTTATCTTGTGTCTCTGGATACTTCAATAAGTACAACATACACCACAGCAGTCCAGAGGATATGGTGTCAAATCCTAAAGGAAAGGAAAAAAAAATAATAATCTTAGATGCACTGAAAAATTGTGTTATGCTGTTACCAGTGTGCAATAAAACTATTCACTTCTAAGCAGATAGTTATTAGCTATTGTAGAAAACGGTAGCTTTCATGTATGAAAGCTTAGTTCTCTGTTCAAAACTAGACTTCCTTGCATTGATTGTCATCTCATGAAAATAAATCACACAATACAAAGACTTTTGGTTGAGTTGATCAATAGTCCCCCAGTGTGTCATACACAAATGATCCTGTCAGAGGACCTCAGTAAAGTCTATCTGCATCACAAAGCTCAGAGGATTGAGCCAAGATTCCAACAATGTTTTTTTTTTTTCCCCTGCTAACAAAATTGATTAGTAGAGATAATTTGGCACTTCTGTTATTGCCTCCTGAGCAGTAATGAGTATTTTGACTAACTTGCTTTTGTCAGATCTTTAAAGAGATTCCAGTAGGATCTTGAGAACTTGTCTCTGTGGAATTATGTGGAATTAGCTGTAGGATATCCACCTCAGACAGTCACAAGAAGGCAGTGTTTGGGAGTGCAATTTTCTTTAGTTCCCTGCTCTCCATATCTATACAGTGCCTCTGGATCAGTTTTGACATGTGGTTTTCACTAAATGTAGCTTTTGAGTATTCATATTAAAATTATATACTCATTTTTATTGCCTAGGTTTGTGACATATTTGCTTTAAAGGCTAAGCTCACCTTTTGAAAAAAGTGCACATTAAAAAAAATGTTTATTTATTATTTTTTTAAGGAACCTACAGAACATTGCACTCATGATCAACAGATCACAAGTGCAATCACTCCTGCAGACTCCTGCAGACTCGCAGTATAGCTGTCTTCCTGTACCTTCCATTCAGGCAGGCAGTTACTTAAGAGCTGGAAGATCAATGAACTACAAGTCGTCAGCTGCAATGGCTGATGGTACTTGTAGTCTATTTATTCAAAGGAAATTGAGTGATGGAACACTGCCATGCTGTATTCAAATTGGGATAATGGGTGGTTGGGGGGTGGGGGAGAAGATGCAGATGCTGGAATGTGTTACATGTTTCAAAGATGAATATATCCTTTGAAGTAGTCATTTTTTAACTTTGACAGTTTTGTCTTTGTTTTTAAGCTGTCTACTTTTTTTACCATGTGCTTCTGTAAATTACAAAAACTACTTTGCATGGAGAGAGGACTAAGTACAGCTCAGCAAAAAGAAATTATTTCACATTTTTCTAAATAGACCCACTACATCAAACAATAAAATATATTAAGGGGTGAAATGTTGGCGTGCATGTTACTGAATGAACAATTAGAAATAACAAAACCTCACCTGCACCAAATATGTCATTCACAGTGATTATGATCTGTTCATCAGTTAGTTTCTGATGTTTATCCACAGTGTTTCTGTTACTGCAGAGCTGGATAAGGGCATCTGTTATATCTCTGATATTATTCTGGAACACAATAGGAGACATTTATGTTACTACACATGTAGGGGTATATAGTAGTGTTTTTGCTAAATTCTTTTTTCCTTTTTTTGAATTCTGCAGTAAGCAGTGGTATGTAAGCAGCCTAAAGCTGGACATAGATATTTCCAATCTCAGCCAGTTGAGCAGGGACTGGCCTAGATGTGAACTATCTATGGGTAGGCTGATTGTACCCAAGTTGATCCATCGATCGACTTGGGTACAACCAGCGTGTTAGATTTTTATATTGCAATTATTGCCAGTGGCTATTATTTTTATTTTTTTTTTTCATATAAAACACTGTCTTTAAGTTTAGAATATTAATGCAAACTGTGTATTCTTTATTTGCCACAGAAAAGATAGCCCAGTTTCAATTTCTACCCTATAATTGTACCTGGTGGTCCAAAAAAAACTTTATAAACTGGCCTATTCTGCATTATTTATTCACCCAGACAGCACTTTCTGGTCAACAGCCTACCACCTGCTATCACTATCCAATAGTATAGCAGATCAAACAAGGAGCAGTATTGCCATTTTATGCACAGGTATATTAGAATGTCCTAAGTTTTAGGAGGTCCAGTGCATGCTACATTAAGTCAAGAAGTGACGTGCAGGTACTTGGTGATACCTGTCTGATTACTTAGTATCTCCTTGCATTTTCTTTTTTATGGGCCAACGGGTTTTTTTTAACCTTGTATCTAATAGATATGTACACTCCAGGAAGTTTCATTTTGGATGCATTAATTTCTTGAAGAATTTAATTTCTTCATATTCGTTATGTTGACCCGATTTGGTTTCAGAATTCTTTTAATATCTTTGGCACTTGTTTACTATATTCGTTGGTATGGGTGGATTCGAAATATATATATATATTTGATATATTATCGAATTGGACAGATTCAATATTTTTGGATGCTAGTCCCCACCCACCAAGAAAAATGGCATGAGCTGATTGGACAATATTGACTGACGTCATATGAATCCGAATTAACGAATGGAATGAAATTCTGACCCATTCGTTATCCAAATCTAAATTATCAACAAATTCAAAAATGTTATTCATTTTCTCATGGGCCCAAACTACTATTTCATCATGTGAAATCGTCCAAATGAAACAAATGCATTTGTTACTTTCGTTACAGCTTTTTTTCAGATTCGCTGACATTCATTACTATGTGCATTCAGAGATTCGTATACATCTGAATCTCTGAAAATGAAATTTTCATCTGAAAAATGAATTGAAACCAAACTCACATATCTAACTCACATGTTGCTTAGGTCTGGTTCTTTCTACACCAGGTGACCCTTCTCCTGGAAGTTTAAGATATATTATAGTTTATGTTTGTATAACAGATCTTCAAAACATCACATATAATTAGCATAACCAATGATATGTCTCCTAAAACAAAACCACAAATCTTGTAAAAGGGTTTAAATGAGGAGAATGAAGAACCAAATTAACTTTCACTGGTTTAGGTAACTTGAGTAGGGGCTATTTTAGGAGGAGTAACAGCATCGGCAGTAAAAGCATGAATCCTGCAGAAATTGGTACTATTATGTCATAAATGTTAAGAATTTCAAGAGCAGAGTGATAAAAACAACAGAAAAATTGAAAACTAATTTTATACTAATAAGAAAATTATTTAGAGCCCCTTACCTCATTGTGTGACTCATAGTGATCTTGTACAGATTTAGCTATAAAATCATTCAAAGCTCTTATAAATTTCTTCAGCTCATTTAAGGCAGATGATGGAAAATATTTTAAAACTGGGATAAAATCTGCCAGGAGTCCAGCCCCAGATAATCTTTGGAGGTCATCATTTAGTTCAATGATTTGGAGAAACTCTTTGTCATGATGATTATATCTCTTACCAAAACACAAAGCACACACAACATTAGCAACAGTAATTGTTACAAGAGGGAGAGGGTTGAAACTTCCCTGATTTGCTGCCAGTTGTGTCATGCTGTTAACAAGTTCTGAAGCTTCAGCAGTAATATATTCTTCAAGACGACAAGAGCAGTTTGATGAACTGGCCTCTTCTTTTGAAAAAGACCTTAAAGCATTTTTCATTATCTTCTTATGTACTTTCCAGGCTTCACTGTACTTCTCTGAAAATGTCATACTTTGTCCATTTGCCAGCAGAGAAAAAGAATAGAATTCTGGCCTGTTTGCAAAATGCTCCCCTTGTTTACTGAGTACCTTTTTTACTGTGTCAGAACCACTCACAACAACTATAGGCATCATGCCCAGTTTGATGAGGAAGACATCTCCATATAGTTTTCTCATCTCAGTAAGAGATATATGAGCTTGATCTCCAAGCTGAAAGAAGTTTCCTATAATAGGTAGTGACCATGGGCCTGGCAAGGAAAGTCCTCTTCTTCTGCTTGATCTCAGTACAAGTAAAACAGTTGTTAAGGTTATTAGAGTCACGGTCACTTCAAATGAAAAATGTTCTCCCAGTAGGGTCTTCAAAGCTGTAAAGAAAATAAACACAGTCCTTAAATACTTCTGGAACAGTTTATATTGCTACAGGTTTCCCAGAGTCTTAAGAGTCTAATCATCACTATTCTCCTTTCCTTCAGTAACTGTACACTGCAATCACTGGCACACTCCATGGCCATAAATATCCTACTAAAAGCCGAGGAAACATTTAACACTGATGCTTTCCTTAGTTATTACCTTATTATACTCACAAGATTAAAAATATTAAAGTACTTTTCTTAACAATAACAAGAGGCACATGCCTCTTCTTCCTTTATTTGGCTTGCCCAGAAGAAAAAGAGCAAGTGCAATCAATCAGCTTTTCTACGTTAGTATTACTATTCAATAGAGCCAGCAAGTACCCATAGTACACAGCTTTATTCTTGCTTGCATAAAAGTAGTTAATGGATACAAATATAAAGGTTTACAACAAGATACTTTTCATTCCAATACCTTTCAAATCTAAATGCACATGGAGCTATAATCTATAAGTAAACAAACATCATCCAGAAATCTGTAATTTTAGTGCAAAACAATGTAAGGCGGCAGGTCTTCATACCAATATCGTCAGGTGTCAGCTAATTGTGATTAATTAATTCAGTGTACATTACTGAATGCCATGAGTGGTGTTCAATTTACTGTACATCAGGGAACATTGTTGCTTTTATTTTTATTAAAGTATTTTTTAACAGTGTGGGTGTTTTTATTTTATTACTTTTATGAATGAGTAAGAAGGGTTGCTATGTACCTTGTATTTTTTCACCTAGGGAAGGCCAGATATCTGCGGGACACCTTTTACTAAAGGCGGCTTCCAGTATTCCAACAAGTCGATCCCCTATGTTTTGCATTGTATTGTTATTGTTCTGTCACATGTTCTGTCCCCCTTTGTAATGTACAGCGCTGAGCGAACTATTGGCGCTTTATAAACACTGTATAATAATAATAATTATAAGTTCTCCCCAGAATTCCCCACATCACCTTTAAGGGACAGGAGGTAGAGCTGAGGCCCCTGTCTCTTAGTGAGGTGCTTTGTAAAGGGATTGGCAGTACTGGCATTGAGGAGATGAAAAAAAAATTGGGAGCGCCTTCAAGGAAGACATTCCACCCCTCCCTAGTATAGGGAAACAATTGTGCAGGACCCTACTGTCACCATCCAGTACAAGACAGAGACAGGCTGCCCCACTCTAAGTATGTATGGCAAATTATTTGCTGTATTTCCTGATGGTGGCTGAATCCACCACAGTTAAGGCATAGGTGAAGAGGAACAACCTAATGGCTTTGCTGTTACAAATTATTTGCTAAGATGTGTCCTTTTTCTGCAGCATATCAGCACACACTTGTACACAGTAACAGGAATGTGCTCCAAAGCGCCCTTTATTTTGTGCTACCATTCGCTGTCTCTGTCTACACATTTATTTAATTTGGTTCCATTGCCCTGGAGACATAGCTTCAGGAAGAAAACCAAAGGGCATAGACTGGCTGTCTTGGCACAAGTTTGCCAATTGTTTCACTGGCAAACATGGCCAGATCAAGGGGGTGCTGGGGTGGGCTGTGCTCCCCCAGATTTCAGTTGTGCCCCACCAAAGCAAACAGCCCCCATCCTGTCTCCACCCCAGGACACTGTGCCCAGCTGGTAACTACTTCTTCCAGGAACGTAACAAGGAAGGTGCACTGCATAGAGGTAGAGTCCTATTGAGAGTCCCAGTAGTTCTCATCTTGTAAAAGACACAGAGTACAGTGTGGAATTAAAGGAAATCATCTTCCCTGATCACAGAACTTTCTCTGCACATAGCCTGATTTACTGTCAGGCTGATTGTGTATTTCCACCTCCACTCTATACTGAATGATCACTGCACACTGACAGTCAGCACAGCAGTAAATAAAGCTGAGCTGGAATGTGCACTGATTGTTCATGCCTGCTTGTTTGACCAGTCAGTATAGAGCGGAGGTACACAATTGGCTGGGCAGTAAATAGGGCTGTGTACACTGAAGGTTCTGTTATCAGGTGAGACATTTTACTGTAATTTATCCCGTTTCTTCTGTGCTATTGTTGTTGTCTACTCAAGCCATACTTTATGCAATTTTCTATTTCCTTCAACCCCAGGTTGAAGGAAAGAAAATTGCTTGATTCCCTCATCAACACAGTCTGTGTTGATGGGGGAATCGTTCCCGTGGAAATATTGTTTTCTGACAGTGGGAGTTTTCCCAGCTGTTAGAATACATTAATCACTGCCTGCGGCCATAGCCGCCGGCAATAATTGTACTAAAAAATAACACACAGGCTTGTTATGCTGAAGTCGATCAGTAGATCGACTTCAGTACAACTACAGTCTGCCCATACATGGATTGAAATTTTTCTATTTCTGGCGGAACCTGCCATATTTTGAGCTGTCTCAGATTTAGATGCACCCCCATTCATTTTATCTTTCATTCTTGCTGTCTATAATTCATTCTTAGGACCCTGATGTAAAGGGGGGAATCTGGGGACCTGGTGTAACTAGGGAAACTCTGGGGGCTCTCCTTTAAGGGAATGACTCTAGGGACTCTGATGTAAGTGGGGTGACTCTAAGGACTCTAATGTTAGGGCAGCTCTGGGGACCCTAAGGTAAGGCTGATGACCCCCAGGGACCCTGATGTTGGGGAGGGTGACTCTGAGGACCCTATTGTAAGGGGGATCACTCTGAGGGGGATTACTCTGAAGACCTTGATGTGAGGGATTTTTCTGGGGACCCTAATACAAGGGGGGTGACTCTAGGGACCTTGATGTTTGGAGGATGACCCTAGGGACCCTAATATTAGGGGGGCTCTGAGGACCCAGAGGTAAGGCTGAGGAACCCCAGGGACCCTGATAGTAGGTGGGTGACTCTGGGGACCCTGATGTTAGGGGGTGACTGTGGCGACCCTAAAGTAAGGGGGATTACTCTGGGAACCTCTGATGTAAGGGGAATTACTCTGGGGACCCTGAGGTGGGGGGGGGGGGGGGTGACTTTTGGGACCTTGATGTAAAGAGGAGGAATCTGGGAAGGAGGAATTCTAATGCTGATTCTTGATGTGAACAGGTGGTCTCAACCTGATTGTGTACTCTATATGTTGTTTTGTATGTTACTGCTTGCATTCTATACATTATGATTTACATTTACAACAAGTTCCTTCATCTTTTAGGCAAAATCAGTGCTCTGTGTCATCTACTATTGACCCCTGAACTCTGCCTCACTTACACCTGACCCCTGAACTCTGCCTCGCTTACTACTGACCTCTGAACTCTGCCTCGCTTACTACTGACCTCTGAACTCTCCCCTACAAACTGCTGACCCTCTCCTTTGTCCTTCTGACCCCCTGTACACTGCCCTGCTGACCTACCATACTCTGCCCCACTGACATGTTTTACTGCACCCCCACATTAGATCTGGTCCTGCTGGCAAAGCTGCCCTTGGCACTTTTGCGGTACAGTTGTGTGCAAAAAATTACACCCTCCTCTCTTGTCATATATGCTATTAAATGTAAGCAATCCCCTCTACTACCAAGGTCTGACAATCCAAAAGTGAGACACAGAGATTCTGAACATTGAGTGTTGTTTAAACAGTATTTACCAAAGATTTATTTTGTTTTCATTCATCTTCTTTTATTTACTTTATATTTATTTTTTCATTGTAAGGTCATTCCCAGTTGAAGCAAACATGGCAGGGATGACAATGGGAACTTAGAGTTACTTTTAAAATAGAGAAAGCCTTAGGCCTATACTCCGCTATCTCCCTATGTAAAATTTAAAAAAGGGATTCCTTGCAAGATAAGGCTGGCAGCTCAGACACTTGCCTTTCAGAGGTGATGACTACAAAGAATTCCTCTTTGTAGGTGAGAGTAGAGAAAGGAATGTCTGTAATGTTAAAATAAGGCAGTTTCTGAAATGCAGACATAACCAAATTAGGGCTTCTTTTTCTATTTCTGAAACAAGATAGAAAGGGCAGAAACATGACCTTAGATAGTTCTGAGAGCCAGCCACATGTCCAGACCCACCCAAGAGCAGTATTTTTATGTTATTATTGAGGAATGTTCTACATATTTATTAGGACTTTTTATTTTATTTTTTTTAATTGTACTGCTGTCCTTATCCGGGTCAAGCAAACATGTTGGCCAGGCATGGCACAGTTGTATATAAAATGCTTAGACTCATATCCATTATCTGGTTGTCAACTCTGGAACACTGGCTGGAGGTAGCCCAATGTGTGTTTGAGTTACTAGCCTGACCTGCTGCTCATGTCATGTCAAAAAAAGGGCTTTTACTGTATTTAGCACCTGGAAATTGTGACATTTTATTAACCTTATTGGGTAAGTTTGGGAGTTTTTTTGGCACACACTATTTTAGCAATCATATTCATGAACTATTGGATGCAGAGGCTGAAGTACTGGCTGGAGATGGTCCAACATGTGCTTCAGGTACTAGCCTGCTTTGCTGCATGTCAAAGCAGGCCTTCACCAAATAGGAAAGTGCGTGGGAGGGGGTTCAAAATATGCAACTAAGTTCTGGGACAAACATACAGTAGCACCACAAAAGAAATTAAGGGCTCATTGACTTCCTATTGCCTAGCACTGTGATTGAAGATCTTTACAAGCTGTTGATAGGTCTACTCAGGGCCACCATATCATATTACTACAATCTGAGGGCAAAGGCCCCCCTACCCTGCCTCCAGCCCAGTCCTCCTCTCTCTCCCTTAGCCTTCTTTTGTCTGAGGCTAGAACAGTATTTTACCATCTAGGCACATTCTTTCTTAGTTGTTTGGAAGTAAAACTAGATAGATTTTAAAGCT